AAATACATGAGACCCCATATCAATAGGATTCAATACAGATATAATGATTGGGTATCCAAAATTCAGGGTAGGGTGGGGACAAAGGACAGTGGAGGGGGCTAAAACGTTGGGGTTGGGAGAAGAAATTATGAATTGAATAAAGTCAGAACACTTTTATTTTTGGAAAGTCTAAAAATACAGGTCTTTGTTGATGCTGAGTTCTGGGTAGTAGAAATGGCAAGGTTTGGGATCTCTCTCCCCATGGGAAGAAAGTCAGTAGTTTCAAACATATGAAGGTCACTGTAGACAGGCACTCAGAGTAAGTAGGTCAGTACTCTTGGACAGCTGGTGTTGCCTTCCCATTTTAATCCCTCCACCCCCCCCATTCAGGGCATTCCTTTAGATACTCAGGCTGTTTTGCATTCTGCTTACACCTGGTTCCCAAGCCAGGGTCCAGAGCTTGGGCTTCATTCCCGGAAAACACTGGACGCTTAAGGAGGGCACCATGTGCCAGCAGAACAGAAACTTCTCCCAAATCACCTCCTTCTGGCTCAAACTAGTTCTGTGCTCTGTAAAGTTGACATGGAGGCCAGGTTTTTGATTTGGTTTGGTTTGGTTTGGTTTTGGCCCCACAGAAGTTTTTAACTCCAACAGGTGGGCTCATGTTCTGAGCTGGTAACATGATAGAGAATTTGCTAAGGTTAAGAAGTAGACCTCTCCCTGGGCATGGGAGCAAATACCTTTATTTACAGCGTTCAGGAGGCAGGGACAGATGGGTCTCCTGACTTAGGGTAGCCAGGGCTATGGGGTAAGGTAAAAGCACATGGCCTGACAGTGCCAGCTCTAAGAATCAGGTTGGCATTGGGCATTTTTTGTTATTTGTTTTTATGTCCTTTGTGCCTGATATAGAAGAGGGTAGAACAAGGTGATGAGAACTGAGCTGGGCCTGTACATGGCTCAACCTGCGGCCCACACTGAAGCCTGGGCTGCTGTTTCCTTTCTCACAGAGGGGCAATGGCTCTGAGGAAGATACTGCTTCAGGGGCTCAGGCTCAAGAGTAAGGCTCCTGTCCCTGAACATGGTGTTTGCTGCTCTTATTGGATTTGCCAGGCTTCTGCTGCTGGCTGGAGGTTGGCTGTGCACGTGGGTGCCTCCTGAGAAGGAGGATGCTGGCATGGGTGGGGCCGCATGACCTGGCAGGCACTACTTACTATACAAGTAGCTGGCCAATAGGGCAAGCCTTTCATGGAGGCCCACTATGCCCTAAGAAACCAAGGCTGGGGCTGCTTTCCTGGGCGAGGAAAAAGACCTCAGAAGGGGTATTATACATATATATAGATGGGTGGTTAGTTTAAGTTGTGGGGTTCCATAGAGGTCATGGGATAGTCAGAAGAAGCCTGATGTGGGGGAGGAGAGCAGGGGTGCTCCAGATCTCAGAGCCTAGGAAGAAAAGCAGATCAGTAAGCTGGAATCTAGATGGGTAGAAGACTTAACACCTGAAGTTTTGTTGGAAACCTATTTAATTGTATCCATTCAGTCACTGATACATATTTCAACTTTTCACTTTGTATCTGGTGGCGAGATAGTCTAGTCTGCAGATTACAGGTTAACTCTAGATGGGAGAATGGGTTGTATTTGAAGACAATGAAATTTTTGAAATTTTACCTGCTAAATTGCATTTCTGGGCTCTGAAGGCATCAGCCCTTGGCTAACAAGTGTTGTACTGTCAAGCCTGAGAACAGGCAAAGCAGGAAAAGAAAATTACTGGACTCAGGCATGGAACTGACAGGTTTGGGTCATGAAATTTTTTCATGGATTATATTGCACACTTGTTTTTGTTTTTTATTTGTTTTGTGGGTTTTTGTTTTGTTTTTCCCCCCTTTGAGGTCAATGGATCATCAAGTTGCCCTTCCCAAGTCAGTAAAGCTTCCCTGAGAAGTACACTTGTACCTGAGGGCATAGAGAACATACATCTTTCCATATTAATAGAGTAATCCTTTACATATAATGCCTCTCTCCCTAAGGTTGAGATTACGGGTAGAATGCATGGAAATAAATGCATCATTTTCAGAAACTGGACACTTTGTTATTCTTAAAGCATTTTGCATCAACTTTTGTTTTTGAGACAGGGTTTCTTTGTGTAACAGACATCCCAAGTGCTGGGTTAAAGGTGTGCACCACTACCTGGCCATATCAACAATTTTATTGATAAAGGATATGACACTGGGTACAGTGACACATGGCATCAATTAGAAAGACAGATTTCTGAATTGGAGACCAGTCTGATCTCTAATAGCATCTCCAGCAGGTCAGGGATATATAGTGAAACACTGTCTCAGAGAAGGAAGAGGGAGCATTCAATAAATACTGCCACTCAGATAACGAACTGGTAGTTTGACTTTTATCCTCTTAAGCCTTTTTTCCTTTTATCTTACGGTGGAGGAGACCAGGCATTCATATAAACTTAGAGAATGCGGTGGTGCATACTTGGGGAGAGAGGCAACACATCAGAGTTACTTAGTGAGACCCTCAAATAATAAATTACAGGTTTAAAGGCACTTCAGAGGGAGTCAGTCCTAGTGACTCGTGCCTGTACTCTATAACACTTGGGAAGTTGAGATAGGAGGAGGATCTTTGTAAGTGAAGTCTGCCTGGGATAGTGCAATGAGGGTCATTCATGAGTAGATGAAGGAAATTGTTTCTGATAACCTAGTTCCATCCCAGAACTGCACAGTGCCCGCCACACACACCCTAAAACTAAATTGCAATTTTTGGGTATTGGGTGGATGGATTAACTCAGGGAGGCCAGGTTTTCATTAAGTGTGTGTGTGTGTGTATGTAACAGGTGAATCTCTTAAGAGCAATTTCTACTTGGTTAAGGTAATTGCCACAAAGCGCTCAGCTTTTACCTTAATCCTTGTGCAGTTCTCCAGGGCAAACAATACTCAGCTCTGAGCGGTCTTTCCAAGTGAGGCCAAGGAGCCATCCTGAGTCAAAAAAACAGCAATATGTCACCGGAAGCCCAGACAACCAAAGGTATGATCCGATCATCAGTGGCCTCAGGCAGGAATTTGCAAGGAACCTCGATGTCTCAGATGGAGAGAAGAAGCCCCTGGTGGCTTTTCAGGAAATGGGTTCAGTGTCTGTTCTACTTGTGGTGACCTCATAGTTCATTGTCCCATCATGATTACAGCAAGGCTTTTGTGTCTTGCTGGTTTAATGTACCATCTGTATTGTTCCTTTAGCAGACACAACACCTAAGCATGGCTGGGAGCCATGAGAGTTTGCCAGTCCAGTTTGTTTCAACCATGGGTAGACCTGACTGCCTCGACTTCCTTTGTGAGGACTTACATTTAGGGAGGGGAAACAAGCAGAACTGATCTTGTCAGAGGGGGCTTAATGAGACTGATCATTTAACAAATACTACAAGGTGCTGTTGATAAAATTCAAGTAGACCCCATAGGAGATGTTGACTGTCTTAGGGAGTTAGGAGAGTTAGGAAGGAACAGTATTGGCAAATGGCGATAGCTAGAGGTGTCATCCCTTCTTTAAAAGTTTGATTCTGCAGTGAATATAGTGGTGTGCCCCTGGAGTCCCAGTACCCAGGAGGCTGGAACTCATGGACAGCCATGAGTTCCACACCAGCCTTCATTTGCATTTCATTGCAAGTAGGTTACAGAGGTCCCTGGCTATTGCCAGGGTAGGAGAAGTTCAGAAATGAATTTTACATGCATATTCTTCAGTGGTCCATAAAGCCCATGGTTGGTAGTAGAGTGAGGGTTCTTTACTGGGAGTCAAAGCAGAGCAAGGATACAGAGGGTCTTATTGTAGAACTCAGACTGGAGACTTTAGGGTCTGGAGTTTTAGAAGAGCCTCCTGGCTTGAACTCAGATGAGACCAACGCCCAACTTCATTCAAGCTTCTCAATGTTTGTTGATAAAGCAAAGCTTCTACAGAGTTCTGTCCTCTAACCAGCTCAGTGAGCATTTAGTTGTAAGTCAGTAATAAAGTTTAAAGCAAAGGTTGGGCAGCTGTTGGGGTTGTGACCTGGGTGGTTAATTACCTGGAACGAATACTCAGGCTACTGAGAGTGCTCTACGTATCAGACATAGAGAGGAAATTCAGATTGGGGAAGCCATGGCTAATGTCACTTGGGAAGATCAAAGAGTGAGTTCAAGGTCAAGCCAGGTTACAGAGTGGATTCTAGGCCATCTGAAACTAGCTCTGTGCCTGTGCAATTATGTTTCCTAAGTTACCGAAGACTCCTTAGTGTAGTAACTTTAGAGCTATTCCAGTGCTCTTGTGAGGAAAATTGCTTTGTGTGTCTTGTAATTGTTGCTATTGTATTTTGCTTCCTACCCTGAACTATTTCTTTTCTTTTTTTCCTTTGGTGCCTATCATTTGGATCTTATGTCTAATAGAAGCTAAGAAAAGGCTTAGGCGATGAAGCCAGTGAAAACCTAGAACTCTGGAGCTAAAAAGGGTTTGAGACAGTGTTTGTTTCCTTGATCCCTGGGGCCATTTGAGCTTGGGTGAACATGGTACAGAGGCTGTGTGGGTAGCCTACCAAAGCACATACTTATTGATTTGACACCTCATCGTGGTAGACTTCCCAAGACACTAAAACCAGGAACCAGATGTTTGTATGCTGATAGATTAGTTACAAACTTTGGGGAGGGTAGTTCTCACAACTTTTGGAAATTTCTTCATGTATGTAAAGTGATGTTCTTCCTAGGGTGGGGTGTGAAAACTATAAAAATAGATAGCAGGTAATGTAATACTCCTGCTTGCATTGCCTAGGAAATTACTTTCGCTCATCAAGGTCTTTGCTCACAGTCACATTGAGCCCTTTGCCCAATTTGAGAAGCACCCACAGAGCCAGCACGTGCCAGGCCTCTGTGTGACTAGTGCACAAAGCAATCATATTGGGTTAATGTGTAAGTAGGAGACACCCGCCTATGCCAAGTGGCTCATTAAGCACTGCCCAGTCTAATTGCACTCTTTAACTTCCCGGGACCCAGGACATCAGAAACCATGCCGAAGCCACACAGTGAAGCAGGGACTGCCTTCATTCAGACCCAGCAGCTCCACGCAGCCATGGCTGATACCTTCCTGGAACATATGTGCCGCCTGGACATTGACTCTGCACCAATCACGGCCCGCAACACTGGCATTATTTGTACCATTGGTGAGTGAGCGTGGCTCCCCTAAATGGAGGCTTCTTACTCTGATGATCTCCTAAAAAAACATAGCAATTACAAGGCTAACCTAGATTCTGAGTGAAATACTGTACACATTTCTAGGGGAATTGAAATAGATGGCCTTAGAGGCAGGCGGATCTCTGAATTCAAGGAAGCCTGTATCAAAAACAAAACACTTTGTGTTTTCTGCGGTAGGAGAAGTTCAGGGGTCTTCCTTAGTGGTTTTTTTTTTTTTTTTTTTTTTTTTTTTGGTAGGAGTATTTCTGAGACCTCGGGTCTTATGCATATGGTCTGTGTCACCAACATTGTCACCAAGTTTGACATCTTGAGGACAAACAAAACTGCATAATTCTACCAACCACTTTCTTGATTATGCAGGGCCTTGAAGAATTTATAGAAAGTGGCGGTGTTTCCCACTTGTATATAAGTTAGGAAAGTTAGCTAGTATAATAGTTTCTGTTATTTTTTAGAGTTGATGATTTAAAAACAAAGGATGAAGAATTTGATGCTGAGAAAGTTGCACATGTTTTAAGTATTATGGTTTTCTACCTGTGGCTTTAAATATTAATAGGTCCTGCTTCCCGGTCAGTGGAGATGCTGAAGGAGATGATCAAGTCTGGAATGAATGTGGCTCGTCTGAATTTCTCTCATGGAACTCATGAGGTAGGCCTCAGTTAGATTGCTATGAGGTTTATTGGAAACAGGAGGTGTGGTATTCATTAATGATACTCCCTACACAGGTGTGGATCCCACCTTCTTGGTGAATGGGACATTGTCCTGGCCCATCCCTGATTACCTCTTTCCCTCTTGTCACCTGCATTGGCCTAGACATACAAGGCCTGCTTTGTCAAAGACCAGACCTGTCCCTACCCTTAACCTTCACTAAAGAATGCAGGGAGGATTTAGCTGGAACCCCTCTAGGCCATTGTCTTGTCTTAGCTCTGCACTTGGCAACAACGCCTCAGGTGGCTGCTGTGAGTCTGGTGACCAAAGGGACATGCAGAAAGTTGATTCTGGCTTAGTTCAGTTCTGAGATGATTAGGTAGGTAGGTCCATAGGGGGTTCCACTTGAGACTGAGTCTAGTGCACAAAGTCAGTGGTGTGTCTTATTCTTACTCCATCAGCATTGTCTTCCCAGCATCAGTTACTTCCATAACGTGAGGTAGGAATGCATTTGATCTGGGGCTGTTCATTATATGTTCTTACTGGTAGAGAGGCCATATGCAGGAGGCAGATGGCAGCTGTGAGTTAGAAAAGCCCATTTGTGCCAATGCTCTCAAGTTTAGAACAACCCATTCTAGCTGTTGGGCAGGTGAAGAAATCACAAGAGCTACAATTCATAGTTTCAAACTGTATTTTCTACTGACATCGATCAAGGTGGGTACAGTCCTCTCCCACATCTTGGTTTCTTTGTGTCCTATAAAAGTATTACCCTGTGTTCTATTTTGCCCTCTGACCTTTGGAAATTGTTTAGACTAAAAATAGAGGAGGAAGAGCAGTCCAAGAAAGTGAACCCTTCCTTCCTAGAACATGAGACTAATCAGGTTCCAGAACCCATATCCCATAATCAGTCTGGAGGCTAACCCCAAATGTCATGGTGCCTAGGTTAGTCTAAAAGGTACCTAAGCAGTATATGACACCTTCTTGCAAGATGTGGTGCTAAAGTGCCTTGATACACATTTTTAGCTTTTTTGAATGAGATGAGGTTAATCAGTTTGACCGTGTGTCAGGTCTCTTATTTCGTGTGCTGCTTTAATGAGGAGCTGAGGTGTATCTACTGGTCTTGATGGTTTTAAGTCCTTCTGGAGACACTGGAATTGCATCCCTCCCTTTGACAGGAACATCTACCAGCTGCATCTGATCCTTTCCCAGCCTTGGCAGTCTTGTAATTACAACCTCTTGCTGGTCACATGGGCAAGATGAACATTCTTGCTGAAGAGGCAATGTTGTACTGTGTACTGACTTTTAAATAGCCTAAATTTAGAGCCTCTACCATTTGGTAATATGCCAGCAAAAGCATTGCTGTAACAGTGGAAGACATGATCCACCTTCTAGAAGTGTACCAAGGGTAAGCCATACAAAGAATTTTAATAATAGGCTACCCAGTGTTCTGACCATTGATATTATAATACAGCTTTATATACATGAGGTCAAATGTGTGTTTAGAACACTTGTGAATGGGCTGGGGTGTGTAGCTCAGCAAGAATAAATCCCTGGGTTCAAACCTCACTCATACCTACAAAGATATGTTAAGCCATGAAGAAATATTTTTAAGTCGATGAAAATTAAGGGCAATTTCCAACAAAACTATTATAAGTGCCTCTTTAAAGTGAACCACAGCAGTCAAGTTACTGTAAGAAGAGATTCAGCTCTCAGGCAGAGTGTAGGTGAAGGACTGTTCCATCTCTGCTCTGGTCTCCTGTAGATAACAAACGGGCTTGCAGGTGTCTTAACTGCACAGTGGCTAAAAGACAAAGCCTCTAAAGTAATGAATTATATGGCCTGTTAATCGGTGGTATCACATGGATCTGCACTATCCACAAATTCTTCAGCTGTCTTGGCTCTGACTCCCAGAAAGAAAAAGGAAAAGGCCTTTGCAAGTGAAGAATAGCAAAGGGTAGTTGTATCAGAGATGTGTCACTGATCACCAGCCCTTCCCTTTCAATCAGACCTAAGAAAGTGACTGTGAAAGGAGGTATCTGCACTTGACTGAGCAATGAGCTGTTTAGCTTGGACCATTGTTAACTTAAGTCAACAACTTTGGGTTTGAATTGAAGTTGGAATCAATAGTTGACACAGACTGCCAGGGCAGACTTTAAACACAAATCCTGGGCCCTTTACCTGCCCGTTATTAGCCTTCTTTGGTGAGTCCTAGGGATACTAGGACAACTGAAGGGACACATAGCTGCTTTAATAGTAGGCGGATTCACATTCCTGCCTGAATGGGTTTTAGTGGCAGTGTTCTGGATTGTTCTCTGGAAGTGTGTTTAAAGCTGTGGTGATGAGAGGTGGTGACGCTAACATGTGGAGAGAAGAATGGATGCTAGTGAGATCGGAGGTAGGAGTGAGGATAGAATTTAGATACTTTGATTTCATAGGTAGGGATTTGGAACTGGAGTCAGGTATGGAGAGTAACTGTCAATCAATCTCCCTTCTTTCCCAGTATCATGCAGAAACTATCAAGAATGTGCGTACGGCCACAGAAAGCTTCGCATCTGACCCCATTCTCTACCGACCTGTTGCTGTGGCTCTGGACACAAAGGGACCTGAGATCAGGACTGGACTCATCAAAGGCGTGAGTGTTCCAGGAAACCAGGAGTGCTCTGAGAGCAGGCAGCATTCCCTCTGGTAGCCTTCTAGTTTCTGACTAGAGTTTAGGTCTATCGGTGATCGTGTTTTTATTAAGTGTGGGTGTTTTGTGTGGCTATGTACCACGTGTGTACTGACCTCCAGAGGCCAGAAGATGCTGTGTCCCCTGGAACTGGAGTTAATGGATATTTGTGAGCCACCATATGGGTGCTGGAAATCAAACCTAGATCTTCTGCCAGAAGAAGTGATCTTAACCACTACACCATCTCTCCAATCCCCACATGAGAATATTTTATTCATTGTTGTTTTCATCTGGGATTATTTTTATAATTTTGTTCAAAAAAAACTAAAGTTTCACTGGTGATCTGGGCTTAATATCCCTATTTCCTCAATAAACAAAGATAGTGAGAGTTTATTCAAAGGAAGATCTGTTAGTACCAGGTTTGAGCATCCCCATGAGTGGTGCTGGCTTCTTCAGTTCACGCAGCCACTGGCTGTCTGCCTCAAATCTACAGAGCGGTACTGCAGAAGTGGAGCTGAAGAAGGGAGCCCCCTTGAAGATCACCCTGGACAATGCCTACATGGAGAAGTGTGACGAGAACATCCTGTGGCTGGACTATAAGAACATCTGTAAGGTGGTAGAGGTGGGCAGCAAGATCTACGTGGATGATGGGCTCATCTCACTGCAGGTGAAGGAGAAAGGTATGCATGGTGCACAGTCCATGACCAGTTCCCATCTCCAGGGCTCTCAAGTTGATTCTGTTATATTTAACTCCTTTGGTGTAGCGCTCACCTAGCATGTAAGAGGGCCTGGGTTCCATCTCCAGAGGATCAGAAATTAAAAAAACAAAACAAAAACTCCACCAATGGCAAGGTGGGTGGGGTGTGCCTTTAGCATACTTGGGCATGTAGAGTACTCCTATGTGGCTTTGAACTTTTTTTTTTTTTTTTTTAAGATTTATTGTGTTCAAGGATGTTGTGCGTGAGTGCACACCTGCATGACAGAAGAGGGCACTAAATCTCATTACGGGTGGTTGTGAGCCACCATGTGGTTGCTGGCAATTAAACTCAGGACCTCTGGAAGAGCAGCCAGTGCTTTTAAGAGAGGGTTTCCTAGCCTGCACTGGATTTTACTGTATAACTGAGGCCAGATTGAACTCCTGATTTACTAGCCTGGCTATTTATTTTGAGACAAGGTCTCACTTTAGAAGACTTGACCACCTTGGTCTTGAACTGGGGTGTTTTTTTTTTTTTGCATCTGCCTCAAGGGCTGGGGTAATTACCCTGTGCATGGGTATTGTTTATACATGAGAAAACAGGCACAATATCAAATTGACTTGCCTGAAGTCTTGGGATCTTGCTTGCTTGTGGCACTGGTGTCCTCAATGTGACACAGCATATGATGGATACACTAACCTCAGGGAAGGGGCAAGGGACCCTGCTGCTGGCCTCCGGCAAGATGAGCCGGACCCACATCACCTTTACCTCCCTGTTACACAGGTGCTGATTTCCTGCTGACAGAGGTAGAGAATGGTGGCTCCTTGGGCAGCAAGAAGGGGGTGAACCTCCCTGGAGCTGCTGTGGATCTCCCTGCTGTGTCAGAGAAGGACATCCAGGACCTGAAGTTTGGAGTGGAGCAGGATGTCGACATGGTGTTTGCATCTTTCATCCGCAAGGCAGCTGATGTGCATGAGGTTAGGAAGATCCTGGGAGAGAAGGGCAAGAACATCAAGATCATCAGCAAAATTGAGAACCATGAAGGTGTCCGCAGGTGAGTCCTGGATCCCTTTCCAGCAAATACATCCTGCCAAGCCTTTTGCAGATTCTCTGAGTCAAAGCATCATAGCGCCTTTCATTTTGGGACCCACCCAGGAACAAAGAGCCTGGTGTCCATGCTGAAGCTTGTAGCTTTCTTTACTTAGAAAGCAATGATTCTGGCAGAGTGGTCTGTTCAGCTTCCCATAGGAAAGAAAGCATATGGTTAAGCTGGTGTTCATAAGTATGAGGCAAAGTAGGGTGACTGGTTTGACATCTGTTCTATCTTGATAAGCTGTAGGGGCTGTTGGACCTTGGTGTTCCTTCAGGCCTGTAAGAACTAGGGGTGTGGCACCTCAAAGGTCAGCACTCAGAATCTTTGGCTAAGTGAAGCCATGGGTCTTGGAAACAGCACCTGGTGACCTCATTCTTTGTTGGAAGTGCAAATTAGACAAGTATGATACTTCTGTAAGAGCCAGACAAAAGAGAAGTCAGCCCACTTGACTAAATCTCATTCCCCTCACCATTCTGCTTAATGAAGTAGTCATAGGGGTATTGAACAAGCCCAGCAAGCAAGATTGTTAGCCTACTCAGGGTTGCTTAGATGCATTGTTTTGTTCTGTGTTTCCTGTTGTATATCATCTTTCTCTTCTGCGTCAGGTTTGATGAGATTTTGGAGGCTAGTGATGGGATCATGGTGGCTCGTGGTGACCTGGGCATTGAGATTCCTGCAGAGAAGGTCTTCTTAGCTCAGAAGATGATGATTGGACGATGCAACCGAGCTGGGAAGCCTGTCATCTGTGCCACTCAGGCATGTGCTTTTTCCTTCTGTGCTCTATGCTTATGCTTAAGAGACCCTTGGGTGTTTGTTGTCCCACGGTCCCTGTTTATAGACATGTATACCTATAGATCGCTGTCCTTTGCTCCTACACACTATCCAGGGAGTCATCTTCGAAACTCCTTATTATTGTACATGGCTCCTGGCATCACTGAATGCTCATTTGTCCCCCCCCCCCCTTAGATGCTGGAGAGCATGATCAAGAAACCTCGCCCCACCCGTGCTGAGGGCAGTGATGTGGCCAATGCAGTCCTAGATGGAGCTGACTGCATCATGCTGTCAGGAGAAACAGCCAAAGGGGACTACCCTCTGGAAGCTGTCCGCATGCAGCACCTGGTAAGTTCTTCCAAGCCTAGGGTAGAAGCAAGCTCTGCCCCAGAGGCTTCTGCATCCTCTCATAATCCCTTCCCTTTGTGTGGAAGAGTGCTGTTTGATTCTTCTGTTTTCACTGCCTCTACCCCACCCCTCTTTCTCCATCCCTGGAGGATGCCACTTCCATTACAAAGGCCACATATGGCAAAAGATTTAAATCGTAGGATGCAGTCAAAGGAAGCCTTGGAGCTCCTTCTGGACAGTCCAGAAGGCCTGGTGCCTCTGATCTATTCTAAAATAGCCAAGAGTTCGTTCCCAGCTGGTCTCCTGGTTTGGCTTCCAGTTTGGTTTCATGCGTCTCCACTGCAAGCTGTACACACACTAAGCTGGTTTGAGCTGGCCTTGCATGGTGCCTGTGTCCTAGGACTGCCTCCCTTGTTGTGCCACATCCAAAGCAGGGCTGCAAATAGAGCTCGGTGTGGAGGGAACTCAGCAGGCCCTGGAACCGGAATATAGAGGAACTGTAGAGATCTTTCTCTGGGAATATGTTTCAACTTTGGTCAGATATGCTGAGTCATGCCTGAATGTCCAATATTCAGAGGACGGGGCAGGTCAGGAGGATAGCTAAGTTTGAGACTAAGAACAGTAGTCTTCCAGCAGCATCTGCTGCTGCTGACTCATAGAGAACCAGTTCCTGAGCCCTGTGTTCTGCCCTGAGCTCTTTCTTTTGCCTGATGAAAAAATACTGTGAATTAACTTCTTGAACTTTACTATTACTTTTTCAGCCAGCAAAGGACCCTTGTCCTTTTTGTGATACCAGTGCCTAAACTTAAGCCAATTGAAAAAAGAAAAAACAGCCCCCCTCTGGATTAGCTATCATGCCTTTCTTCCCTTCACTCTGTGTCTGATTATTGAGTTTGCAAAAATTCAAGGTGAATTGTACTGTTGACTGTGTCACCTTTTCCGTGGCTTTATTATCTGCCCATATTAAAACTGAAAGACAAGCTCTGTTGCATACCTTGGTTCATTACCTCTTTGTGATGCAGTCCCTGTTCTGATTGGTATCGTGGGCTCATATGGCTGCCCATGCCGGGTAGTTGTTTTTTCTCCCAGAAAACCATGTGCCTTCAATCACTTTCACAATCAGTGCCTTTCCTGCTTTTACACCACATAGCCCTTACCTAGTTACCTGCTTAGTTGTGTCTGTCATCTGTCTACAGAATGGTCAGGGTCAGGATAAGGACAGCTTTGACCAGGTATTCTGAAGCATGTAACCACATAGATGTATGTAGATGTGTGTGTAGCTGAGGGCAAGTTATATGACTTCAAGACCTTGCCCTAAGATAGGTTTGATGAGATTAATTATAGCCTTTGCATTAAACATTTACTGCCGTCATTAAACTTTAGATAAGCCTCTGAACACGTTGGCCTCAGTCTATGAATGAGAATCACATGAGGTGATAATTGTGGATTTGAGCCCAGGTTTGCTTTCTGTAGGGCCCGCCACGTCCGCTTGCTGTACCAGCAGGTGTGCACGGTCTCCATGCCCTTGTCTTTTCCTATGAACAAACACCTTAGAACCTCGAGGCTGGGACTGCCTGGCGCTGCTCAGAAGATGAGTCACAGAGTCTGAGTTAAACTGGCTGCCCCTGCAGTGGGTAGAAGCCTTTCCCTCTAACAGATCAGATATCTTTTCCCCTTACCTCTCTGCTGTCTCCTCCTGTGTCTAACTGATACAGTTCATGACCTGGAATTCAGAGCTAGGCACCCTAGCTATGGTTGTTGGTCCTTTTTGTTGCATGCATTCCATCATTAACCAAAGGAATACTTTTATGCTTGTGAATCTGCTTACACTATCAAATCAGTGAGATGGTTTGCTGGTTCCTTCTCATCCTTCCCATACTAAGATGCTGGTGATTATTGCATATTAATTCTCTGAAACTTAACATTTCCTTTCTGATGCCTGGTCTTACCTGAACAGGTGTCTAATGTAACACACTTGCTATCTTGTAATGGTTTAAATTATTGTTTTAGTCAGTGTTTTGGTATTCTCAAATGCTTTCACAGGCCTTGGTCTCTTCCCATGGCTGTTCAGTATGCTGCTCTCAAAGGAGGCAGTTTTCACCAGTTCTCTGGTGCACTGTGCAACTTTGGCTCTTTTGACCCCTGACCCCAGCTTTCCAGAGCTGCCTCAATGTTTCCACTGTAAACACTAGGCAATGTGCTGGAAGCCGTGTTGTAGTTAGACAGCCATGTGAAGAGGGAACAGGCCTCTTCCTTCCTGTAAGCTGTGTCATGAGGCAGTGTGGTCAGATGGAAGTGATGGGCCTTGGCACCTAACCTTTCTTAGCTTCAATCAAGAAAAAAAGACAACAAATTTATAGCCAGATATTGGTGATGCATGCCCATTTTCCCAGTACTTGGAAGGCTGAGGCAAAGAATGAGGCCAGCAGGGGCCAGTTCATGGTCATTAAGGGCCACTCAAATGGCCTGGGATGACTAAAAAAAAAAGAAATTGGTGGGTAAAATCCCAAGTGGGTAAATAAAGTATTTTCCAGAAAAGAAAAGAACTTTTCTTGCATTGGAATGAAAGTAAGAACACGTGAACTTTGACCACCCTGCCTCTGTATCTGCCCAGGGGACAGACTTAACTGTACCTTCCACTCTGATTTAATACCCCTCTGTCTTTCCATGTGTTGTCTCTCCTGATTTTTGCCTTCATCCCTCTTATCCCTCCTACCCTAACCCTTACAGATAGCTCGGGAGGCTGAGGCAGCCATGTTCCATCGTCTGCTGTTTGAAGAACTTGTGCGAGCCTCCAGTCACTCCACAGACCTCATGGAGGCCATGGCCATGGGCAGCGTGGAGGCTTCTTTTAAGTGTTTAGCGGCAGCTTTGATAGTTCTGACGGAGTCTGGCAGGTAGGGCCCTGAGGGCAGGTGTCGCTATAGGATGATCTCTTCTCACTCCAGCCACTTCAGTAAAGGAACCTAGACCAACCTTGAGCCTGAGCTCAAGCACAGCTACTCTCCTTCATTCTCCTTCACAGCCAAAGAAGTCATGATAGGGCAGATCCAAAGTACTCCCTCATGGGCATAGTGGAAGTCACAGGCACCGGTGAGGATGGTTTCTGTGGAATTTTTGATTTTGCTCATTTCCTCGTGGCCCTTTTTTGCCCGGGGACATCTTCCCAGTTGTCTGTGACTCATCCTCCCTCTCCATTTGTGACAAAGCTCTGACAAAGCGCTGTCCCCCTTCCCTTCGTCCCTTTGGACGGATGTTGCTCCCCCAGATTGCCCGTGAGGCAGAGGCCGCCATCTACCATTTGCAGTTATTCGAGGAACTCCGCCGTCTGGCGCCTATTACCAACGACCCCACAGAAGCTGCCGCCGTAGGTGCCGTGGAGGCCTCTTTCAAGTGTTGCAGTGGGGCCATTATCGTGCTCACCAAATCTGGCAGGTAGGAGGCGGCAGTGGCTCCCTGGGGGTGCCCTCCTCAATTGGCCACCCTCCTTAGGGGATCCCAAGCATGGCTCTGGGCCAAGTTTGGCTGCCACCAAAGGACTCCAAGGATCAGTCACAGGTATTTTGTTTAGCTCCAATAAAGTTCAGCCTGCCTCACAATGGGAAGGAAATACGAGTTTTGCCTAGTTTAGTTAGCCTGTGGTCTTCAAAAATATATTGGAGGGTTGGTGAGATGGCTCAGCTGGTAAAATTGCTCCACAAGCCTCATCTGCAAAACCCATGAAGGACTACTGATCTCACATGCATGTTGGCAGATATGCTGATAGTGATAAGCACTTTAAAATTCTACTTGAGCCGGACACTGATGGCATGCCTTTACTCCCAGCACTTGGGAGGCAGATATCCATGAGTTTGAGGCCATCCTGATCCACAGAGAAGAGTTCCAGGACAGTTTTCCAGAGCTGCACAGAGAAAAGCTGTCTCAAAAAACAAAATAAAAATAAAATTCTGCTTGGAGGGGTTGGAGATACAGTCTCAGTGGGTGAAGTAGTTATTGCATAAATGTGAGGGTTTGAATTGGAATCTAGCACCTATGGTAAGAATATGCAGACAGTCAAAGCTCTGTAAGGGATCCTGCCACAAAAAATTAATATGAGGAGAGGTGACTTGGCCTCTTAGGACACTGGCTGCTCTTCCATAGGACCAGCACCTACATGGCAGCTCACAGCTGTCTAACTAGTTCTAGATAGAGGAGTCCAGTGCCCTATTCTTCTAACCCCCACAGGCAGTGCATGTATGTTGTGAATAGGTGCACATATGGGGAAAATACCCTTGACATAAAGTGAAGAAAGATAAGGTAGAGGGTTAAGAGGAAGGTACCCAGTATTAGCTTGTGGCCTGTGAACATGGCAGACAGGCATGCTCCTGTGTGTACCACAGACACTACACAGTAAGTAAAAATATCCAGGTGTGATATCCCATGCCTGTAATCCCAGTGCTACGCTCATATGTTTGAGCCTGGGCTAAGGAGGTCTAAGATAGATCTATGCTAAGCATATGCCTCAGCCCCTGCACTTCAGCTCTAGACTTCTGTGGTTAACATTGTGGAGTTCCTGATTACAACAGCTACCGGCTTCAAGGCTTTGGATGCAGACAAGCATGAAGAAGGACAGTCTCTGCTGTGGTTTTTCTGGTTTCCCAGATACTACTTGTGAGCTGGTGTCTTTAGAGCTTGTTCAGTTAATTCAGCAAGCTTGAGATACCTTCTAGAAGTAGACACTATCACTTGTCACAGGTGTTTTAAGAAATGGTCACTATGTTTCCAAAGGATCTGAATGGACCAGGCATTGTTATGTAATGCCTGGTCACTGCTCTGATTTCTAAAGGCTTGTAATTTTTTTTTAAGCTCCAAGTGTATTTTGGCTCTAGAGTTAGGCTTCTGTGACTGCCACAGGACCAGCATAATACTGTAGTCTTAATATTGTTGGCTCCCTCTGGGTGTTGGTGGCACAAGCCTTTAGACTGCACTTGGAGGCAGAGGCAGGTGAATCTCTGAGTTAGAGGCCAGCCCGGTCTACAGAGTAAGTTCCAGGACAGGCTCAAACAATACAGAGAAACCCTATCAAAAAAAAGAAAATTAATTATTGGCTCCCAGGGTCTTGTCACATTCCTGCTGCTGTTTGCAGGTACCAGGAGCTAGGTGTGTGCTGCTTGGTTTGTAAATGTTGCTGACAGCTGTGGGTGCTGGTGAGATTGGACAAAGCTGTCTCCCTGCTACATGGAAGGGTTCACAGTATGGGAGGGATTCTAGCCATGGGTCCTGTGGGATTGCCCATAATGAAATCAGCACTGTTTATAGAGGACAGGATGTAGGGGCTGGCCAGTCCTTGGAACAGAGTGACCTTTCAGTGGGGTAAGGTCTGTGCCTTAGTTGCATTAGAGGGTGAGCTACTGCTGAAGGTGCTTCCTGGGTCTTGTGACAAGTCTATCCTGTTTACTCTTTGCAGGAGTGCCCACCAGGTGGCCAGGTATCGTCCACGAGCTCCCATCATTGCTGTGACTCGCAATCCCCAGACTGCTCGCCAGGCCCACCTGTACCGTGGCATCTTCCCTGTGCTGTGTAAGGATGCGGTACAGGATGCCTGGGCTGAGGATGTAGACCTTCGTGTGAATTTGGCCATGAATGTTGGTATGTAGCTGGAAGCAAGAAGATGGGGGACAGAGCAATGGCTTCTCTTGAAACGTGATAGTTCTCTGAAGTGTTAGGCTGACCGTTTTTGTCCTCACCCTCCCAGTTTGGGGCCCAAGGCAAAAGTAATTCCCTCTCTTAAGATTGGCTCGGGCTCCTGTGCTATGGGTGGGGCACACAGATTATGTACTGCTGCTGTGGCCTTTATTCCTCTATAAGTTTGGAAGGCATTTGGGGGTAGAGGAGGCAGCTGGCTCTGAATCATCTCCAATGTCCCTACAGTCTTCAGTTCAACTATTGTTAAGGCTAGGAGGCTTGCACCACCTTGTGGTAGAAAGAAGAATTGGTTTGGCAACCTGTCATGACAATGGGATTGTAGGTAGCTCTTTGGGGCATTTGCACCTGCTTGGCTTGCCTCTTTGGCTTAGGAGGGAAGTGCCACCTTGTGGGAGGATTGTGATGGTTCTTTGGCACTAATTGAGGCAGCCCCAAGTGTGTACCTCTATTCACCAACCTTTCTGCTCTTTCAGGCAAGGCCCGAGGCTTCTTCAAGAAGGGAGATGTGGTCATTGTGCTGACTGGGTGGCGCCCTGGCTCCGGCTTCACCAACACCATGCGTGTCGTGCCAGTGCCTTGATGGCCTTATGGAACCTCTTCTAGCCCCTGTCCCATCCCCTCCCCCATCCCATTCATTAGGCCAGCAACGCTTGTAGTGCTCACTCTGGGCCATACTGTGGCGCTGTTGGGCTGGGACACCGAGGAAAATTAATGCCTTTGAAGCACGGACTAGAGCCCAGCTGTCTAGCTGGGGATGAGGGAGGAATGCAGAATTGGAAACCCTCTGCCTTTATCACAAAAGGGCAGCAACATGTCTGTGTGTTTTGCTCCTGTAGAAAGTTGCCCAGAGAACTCCCAGCCCTGGCCTGGAGTCAAGAGATGACAGCAAGAGTAGGGGCTTAGGGCATTGGGCCCAGGTTCCTGTGTAGATAACCCTTGACCCTGGGCCTGATTTGCTTCCCCAACAGCTTTGGCCTCCCCTCTCATCCTTGTGCACTCCACTCAGCTGCCACTGCAGACACACACTCCACCTTCTGTTCTGCAGTGACTCTAGGCCTGTTGCTATAGCGCCCACCTGAATGTCAATAAACAGCAGCTGAAGCACCTGTGTCCTGTTCTCTTCTGCTGGGGGGAGTGGTTGAGTCCTGCCCTCTGAGCAGGTGAAAATAACAACAGCCTTGTGCCTGGCCTTGTGTGCTATACCTCTACCAGATGACCTGCAGGGCATAGGAAAAGCTGCAGCTGAATACTATATATGTGTGTGTGTGTGTGTGTGTGTGTGTGTGTGTTGATTATCCATATAGATTTCTTGCCTCACCTGGGCTGTGTTAGAAAGCACACTATTCTGTTAGGACAAAGATGGGAATGGCCAGAGACAAGTCCAGCTTGTGACCTTTGTGCTGGTTGGCTGTCCCCTGTGGTAGGTGCCCCTTTGGGGTTCTATGGAAGGAATCCCTACTTGACACCTGAGGCCCTCAGGTTCCATAACACCTTATTCCATGGCCATCTCTGGAATAAGATGCAAATGGAACAGATTAGGATCTTACTTTGCTTCTTGTCACTCCTAAGAGCCAAAAAAAAACAGTACAGTGGGGATACTGAGGCCTGAGAAATTAAAGCACTTAAGAGTTAAGGTTAATCAACAAAAGGGTTAGGACAACTACTTGAGAATAAAACAAAGGCTCCTGAGTTAGCTGATTACCATTACCCAGTGTGCGGACCTATGATAATTGCAAGCCTGGCTTCTCGGACCACATAATTTACCAGACCCAACGAAGACCTGTCTGCTGCTGGGCCCCACGAAGGCGATTTGAGAGCGGGGAAGGCTCCACCAATGATCTGAGCTCATTCTGAGCAAGCAGCCAATGGGCGGGCGGGGGTGGGCTTTCCCCTGGGTAGGCGGGGCCCAGAGGGTACTGTGTCTGGCGCACGGTCCTGGGTTTCAGGAGAACGCGCTGCGATGACCGCCCTGAGCCATAGCGAGCCTGTCGAGGCGGGCAGGTAAGGGCGGCGTCCCTGGGCTCCGAATTCTGGAGGCTGCGGCGAGGGCAGGGCGGCTCTGGGAGCATAGCGCCTGGGCGTCTTCCGCCTGCAGATCACGCACTTTCACGGCCGCGGGAATTCTGGTTCAGGTCAAGCTTTCCTGGGACCCTGTGTCGCCTCCTTGCTGTGAGGTGTGCGCGTCGCATGCGATGTGTCCGAGGATCGGTCTTGGTGGCTTCGGGCGAGCGGAAGGCACGTTCCTGTGCTCACCTTCTGTCGGCCACCTTCGCGGTCCATTCATTTGTGTTTTCATTCATTTCTTACCATAACGACCCCCCAACCCCGATTGCCTCCATCCACCAGCTGGCTCTTCCCTGCGGGCCCCTGCAAAATCAGTTTCTCTCCTCTCCCTGCGGGATCTACTCTAAGAGTGTATACGGCTGCCCCGGAGGCAGCGTGGAGCTGTCCCAGCACGACTCGGCCGCACCCCGTTCGCCAGGCCCGGGCGGGCTGGGGCCGGTCTCCTCCAAGCCTGGAGAGCTGGTCCAAAGTCGACCTGAGAGGAAAGGAAAGTTCTTCAGCTAGAGGAGAGTAAGGGGGGAGGGAAGACACGAGGTGGCATCAAGAATGGGAGCTAGGAGTGTAATATTTACCTAGCATGCACATGGCTCTGGGTTCGATCCTCAGCACCAGGATCAGGGGTCGGTGATGCACACCTACAATCCCTGCACAGTCTCCAAGATGGTTTATTCTTGCTAGCCTCTGGGAAACTCTTATGTGAGATGAGCTGAGATTCAGAGTCATCCTGAACCACATAATGAATTCAGGACCAGTCCTGGAGAGTGGGGAATTTAACTCTTGAAATCTTGAGGTCCTGTGGATGAGATTATTTGGGCAGCTCATGGGTGAAACTAAATTCCTACCCTCACCCAGTCCCAAACTTACACAGCTGGACATCCCTGCTAGCCAGGATGCATTTAGGTAGGGCAAATGTGATCTCATGTATACATTAACCCTGGAAACACAGGGGTGTGAGTTTAGCGGTTCAGCCCTCTAAGGGCTTGAGGAGGTGGGGTGTTCAGCTAGCTGCTAGCTGCGTTTGTCTCTGTGCTTGCCTCCTCCCTCAACATACGTGATTGTGCAAAGGTGCCTCTCCTTGTAGAGACCTGGCAAGCTAGATGTCCACCCCTCACTTGTTAGCTCTGAACTCCACTCCTGATGCAGTAAAGACAAAGGATTGCCTGAAGAGATGGGTAGAAAGTTCTCCCAGCCTGTAGACTGCTCTGTACTCTTCTCAGACAGCCTCTTGGAGTCCAGCACAGTGGGCACACTCTTAGAGATTATAGTTTGGCAGTCATTAAGGTGTCCTTAGTGGGTATCTTAGGGCAAATGAGCAGGTCCAGAGGGCAAAGCTGACTGGTGTCTGCCAAGCATTCAGGAGGTCTCTGCTGGAGCCAAGTAGAAGTTTTTCTTAACTTCTCGGAGGGCAAAGATTTTCTAAGTAGCCTGGAGAGGTCAGCCTGGCCCCATCCAGATCTTCCTGTTGCTTTTAGTTTTCTGAGCTCAGGTGGGTCTCAAAGTTTTATTTGGAACTGGAAATCCCTGTATGCTAATTCATTCACTGGGGGTGCTCTGGTGACCCTCTGAGAAGTGAGGACTACAGCATTCAAGATGGCTTATGCTTGCTAGCCTCCAGGAAGCTAGCTAGCTCCTCCATGATCTGCTAGTGCCTGTCAAGGTGACTCCACCCAGCCCTTAAGCTGGCTAAGCTGTTGCTTTGGCTGTTGAGAGACATGCTCCCTATTTATAAGACTGGCAGGAAGACCTTCACTGAGAGTCAGAGATTCATTCAAATGCTCTTCCCATTTTGCTGTGACTTGGGACAAATCATTTCCTTCTCAGGAGAGATATGACTTGAACTCTCTAAAAAGCCCCTCCACACAGTCAGTGTTCTGCTAACATGTTTCCTCTTCCATTTCTGAAGATGTCTCATTTATTTTCATATTTTGCACTTTGCTGAGACATGCCTTGGAAACCCATCAAGCCAAGAAGAGTGTAGTGTTCCACTTCCATGTCTAGAATCTGAGTCTGGAGACTGGAAAATAATGTGTTTGTCTTTCTCTGAGAAGGGATGACAAGTTTCCCTTAAATTTGTTTTGTTTTGCTTTTTGAGACAGGATTTTTCTGTAGCTTTGGAGACTGTCCTTGGCTAGGCTGGACTGGACTCAAATTCACAGAGATCTACCAACTACTCACTGCTTCCTGAGTGCTGGGATTAAAGTGTGTGCCACCACTGCCCGACCTTCCTTTAATTCTACATCTATGTTTGATGCAGTTATAAGCTTGGCCTCTTCACAGGGGCTGTAGGGCGTCAGTCTCATCACCATTCTCTCTAACCTGTAAGCTATGACTAATTCTCCTACCTGTTTACTAATAGAGGAGAGTAAGGGGATTAGGCAGATAGCCCTAAGAATGATTTTCCTGAAGTTGGGAGATGGCTCAGTAGATAGCCACACTGTTGTTTAAGCATGAGGGCCTAGTCTCCAGATGGGTATGGCCACTTGTACCTGTAACTCTAGCACTAAAGAAGGAAAAGAAAGCCAGGCAGTGGTAACGCACGCCTTTAATCCCAGCACTTGGGAGGCAGAGACAGGCAGATCTCTGTGAGTTTGAGGCCAGCCTGGTCTATAAAGCATGTTCCAGGACAGGCTCCAAAGCTACATAGAGAAAACCTGTCTCAAAAAAAACAAATAATAATAATAATAACAACAACAACCAAGGAGAAGATAGAGACATCATTGGGGCTTGCTGCCTGCCAGTGTAGCTCCAGGTTCAGTGAGAGACCCTGTTTCAAGGGACAGAGAGTGATAGAGCAGGGCATCCTCCTCTGGCCTCTTTGAATGTGCACAGGCATTCAACCACGACACTTCCTATGTGACTAAGAACTCGGTTTCCCTCAAGGTGCACCTGCCTGATGAGAACATGCATTACTCTTAACCATATAGGCTTCAAGGTGACAAACTGTTTCCCTTCCCCCTTTTCCTACATCTGCTTACTTTTGTTAGTTAAGAAATGCTTGATTAGAATTTAGAGTTAGTTTAACTAACTGAATCAATCTTTAAGTCAGCTATTTTCAACCCATGCATCACTAGCCAGTTTTTTTTTTTTGTGGGATCACATGTCAGATATTTACATTATAATTCATAACAGTAGCAATATTGCAGTTATGAAGTAGCAGCGAAATAATTTTATGGTGGGGTGACCAATAATTTCATGATTGGGTCTCACACAGCATTAGAAAGGTTGAGAACCACTGCTTTAAATCCTTGTCCTAAATTAATATTTCCTCAATGATGTTTAAAATTACATCTACCTACTTACCTACCTTCCAACCTGCCTTCTAAGGTATATTCCCTACTCTTTCAATTTTTAAAAATGTATTATTATTGATTTTTTTCCCCCAGAAGGTTCTCGTGTTCACCCAGGCTAGTCTCATATTTGATCTGTAGCTGAAAATTGCCTTGGGCTCTTTTTTATTTTTATTTATTAGTCTCTGCCTCATGAGTGCCATGGCACGGGTATAGACGTCAAAGACAACTTTGTTTTTGTTTTGGGGTCAGGGTCTCATTGTATAGCCCTAACTGGCTCACAGAGTCCACCCACCTCTACCTCCTGGGTGCCCAGAGTAAAGGCACGCACCACCATACCTGGCAAAGGAGAACTTCTGGGGAATTGTTCTCTTCTTTCCACCATAAATGCTAAGGATTGAGCTTAGGTGTCAAGCTTGCCAGGTGAGCATCTCTGTCCTCTGTGCTACCTCACCAGCCTGATCTTGAACTCTTGATCCTTCACCTCAGAAGTGCTGGGACTACAGGCTTGGACCCTACCTCCATCTTCCCAGCCCTTTACAAAACTCTACTGGTTGTCCTAAACTTTCAATCCCCCTGAACATGGGTCTCAGCTAGAAGGACTGAGCAGTCTAAGGGACCTCAGAGTGGAACCAGGATGTATTCCTGGTGCACAAAAGAACCTTGAGGATACATCCTTCTGCCTTCTGAGTAGCTGGGATTACAGGCTCACATCACTAAGACTAGCTCAGAACTTTTTTTTAAGTGGAAATAAAAAACACTTAAATAATTTGTTTAATTCTCACCTGAATTGTTTTCCTTCTTCCTGTGCTGACATAGCATAGCAAAGTTTTATTAAATAGGTGTCAGATCCTTATGTTATTGCATCAGCTTACATTTTCTTCTCTGAGGGTCAATGGCAGTCTTGGTTTGTCTGGGCATCTGTCTCTGCTCATAAAACTGCTCTTTTCTCTTTTCAGCTTGTGTTCAAATTAACCAGATGACTCAAAGCTTGCCAATAATCACTCAGGCCACACAAGACATTATTTACATCATTATCACCACTGGAGCCTTTTTGTTGTTCCTTGGTGGTGGTGGAGAATCTAAGGAAGGGACTCGCACACACTCAGCATTCATTTCCCCACTAACTATGTCCCAGGTTCCAAAAATAACTTTTGAACCTTGAAGGGCTACTCAGAAATTTAATTTTATGGTAAGTCAGTGGCACTCAGAATCATAAGGCTTCTTTTGTTACCAAACAAATTGAAAACTGTGTTAACTTCAATTTTTTTCATTTCTCTCTCTCTCTCTCTCTCTCTCTCTCTCTCTCTCTCTCTCTGTGTGTGTGTGTGTGTGTGTGTGTGTGTGTAACAGAGAGAGTCACTGTAGCACAGACTGCCCTGAATGGATTTCATGGGTTCCTCTTCTCTTGGCCTCTGAAATATTGAGATTGCTAGCATGAGTCACAGTGCCTAACTCCCAGTTGGTGGTGGTTAAAATGTTGGAGTTGAAGAGTGGGCTCAGCAGTTAAGAGCACTGACTGTTCTTCTAAAGGACTGGGGCTTGTTCCCAGCACCCAAGTGGTGGTTCACAACTATCTGTTAACTTCAGTTACTTAAGATTTTATGCCCTCCTCTGGCTTCTACAAGCATCAGAACTAGCAAGGAGTGC